CCTACCCCCAAATATAATCCACTCTGCAACCCTCATTGCATACTCCTATGATAAAAATAATGCCCTAAAATATAATACTTTTAGACTATTCTCTCCACTTCACTATGCAGCTCTTATTCTGGACTATTGTCATGCAAATATACCTAATCATACATTCATTTTAAGCAGTTCTCTCCCTCTCTGTTTCAATGCAGTGTACATTATTTATCCCCTCTTTTCTTAGTTTCCTCTAACCCCCATGTCAGTCCTGTTTTATAACAGTGGCATTGTGCTATATTTGTCCCTTGTGACTGAGATATTTCACTCAGCAAAATGTCCTCCAGGGTCACCTATTTTGTATAATATTTCATGAGTTCCTTGTTTTCCAATGCTGCATAGTATTCCATTGTGTGACTATACCACAGCTTCTCTATCCATTCATTTGTTGATGAGCATTTGGGTTGTTTCCATCTCTTTACTATTGTGAACAATGCAACAGTAAACATAGGTGTGCATATATCTGCTTGGGTGGCAGTTCTGGTTTCTTTAGTGTATATTCCCAGTAATGGAATTGCTGAATCAAATGGTATTTCTATTTCCAACTTTTTGAGAAAGTGTCATTTTGCCTTCCAGAGTGATTGTACCATTTTATACTCCCACTAACACGCACTGTTAAATTTTTTTTTTTTTTAAAACACCCTCCTCCTCTAAATCACACCCATTCTTCCTTTCATGTCTCTGGTCATTACTTTACTCTATCCTTCCAGATCCAGTTTACCTAGATCTTCTCCAAATTGTTTCCTGTTACCCTAAATTTAGGTTGGATGTCTGTTTATATAGTCCCATAGAGTTTTGTTTATCCCTCTTAGTACTTGTCTTTCTGTACTTCAATTATCTACTTAGTATCATCTTTTTGCTGATAGATGGCAAGCTTCCTGAGGGCAGGTGAGGTTACTGTTGTTGTGTACTGTAGAATTGGAACTAACCCAAAGCACAGTTTTCAGCAGGTTTTCAGAGGCAGTTAATCTCACAAGAGGAGAGTGCCCATCCTTCTCCTGTGGATTGGTGTAAATGTTAGCAGTAGAATCTCCACCAAATAGGCCTGTCATATTGTAATTGCCCAACAATAGTTTGGCAAAAATAAACATGTTGTCAGGAAGACATTATGCCTAGAAAAGTAGAGGGTTAATGAAACAGCTGATTGCCAATAAAAGAAAAACCAGCCAATCAGTTATAGTTTATTGTTAACACAATCAGCAATACTCAAACAGTTTACACTCAGCTTCCAAGTAAATAAAATTGGAATTATGGAAAGTAACTCAGATTGGAGGAGGTCTATATTAGTTTCCATTCCCAAGAAAGGTGATCCAACTGAATGTGGAAGCAATCAAGCATATCATTAGTATCACAAACAAGCAAAATACTGCTGAAGATAATTTTTAAATTACTAGAACAGTACATATATAGGGAACTTCCAGAAGGTCAAGTGGGGTTCAGAAGAGGCTGTGGTACCAGGGATATCACTGATGATGTCAGATGGATCCTGGCTGAAAGTAAAGAATACCAGAAGAATGTGTATTTATGCATTATTGATTATGCAAAAATACTTGACTGTGTGGATCATAACCAGTTGAGGCTGACATTGAGAAGAATGTGAATCCCAGAGCACTTAACTGTGCTTATGCAGTACCTATACCTGGACCAGGAATATGTTGTGCAAACAGAGCAAGGGAACAACTCATGGTTTAAAAATTGAGCGGGGAGTGTGTCTGGGAGTCTATCTCCACACCTTTTCAATCTATATGCTGAACAAATTACGAGAAGCTGAACCCTGTAAGTAGAGTGTGGCATCAGGATTGGAGGGAGACTCATCAATAACCTGCGTTATGCAGAGAACACAACCTTGCTTGCTGAAAGTGAGGAGGACTTGAAGCACTTTTTGCAGAAAATCAAGGAATGCAGTCTTCAGTATGGATTGTATCTCAGTATCAATAAAACAAAGATTCTTACCACTGGACTAATAGGCAGCATCATGATGGATGGAGAGGAGATTGAAACTGTCAACAGCTTCACCTTACTTGGATCCACAATTAACACCCTTGGTACAAGCAGTCAGGGAATAAGAAGATTCATTGCACTGGAAAAATCTGCAGTTAGGGACGTCTCCAAATTTTATTGAGGAGCAATGATTTCAGTTTGA